GGGTGGGCAGCTTTCCTGGGAGGAGGAATCTGTCATCTGGGCAAGGAAAGGCTGAGGGTGACATCAGTCATGGACACCTGAAGTGCCAGCAGGTAAAATCCCCCTCATTCCTGTGTCCTTTCCTGGCGAAACTCCAAGCTAAATTCCATTTTTATTGTAATCAGGCACAGATTTCATTGATGTACAAGGGCAGCATCCCTCAGGCAGCCTCTCTGAGGTGGTTATCCCTTGATTGATGCCTGATCAGTGTGCCAGGCTCTGTACACATGCTGGGAGCTAAATTTGGGGAACAGACCCTGCCTGGGTGCAGCTGAGCAGTTTATTCCCTCTTAAATGCTCACAGTTCATGGGAAACTGTTATTAACACAGCCCCTTGCCCAACTGTTCAGGATTTTGAGAGTTCCATCCAGTAATGAACAAGTTTTTAGGAGAACCACTTGTGGCCTTCACTGTCTTGTGAAGCAGATGGGTCTGGGTGTTCCAGCACTTGCAGGAGGGGCTGTTCTGTGTTTTGGAGGTCTCAGCTCTGGTCAGGAATCTCTCCTTGGCTTCCTCTGTGCCCTGGTACCTCAGCTGTGTGGCAGTGAAGCTGTTTGGGGAGCCTGGGCAGTGCCCAGGGCAGCACCCTCAAGGTGGGCACTGGGCATTCCCTTCACTCCTGAGCTCCCCAGACCTCTTGGACAGCAATAAAAGGGGGTCTTTGGCCACCTCTAGGTGGGCACTGGGCATTTCCTTCACTCCTGAGCTCACCAAACTTTATACAGCAACAAAAGGGGGTCCTTGGCCTCCTCCAGGTGGGCACTGGGCATTTCCTTCACTCCTGAAGCCTCAGCCAAATTTTTGAGGGGGTTCCTTTGCCAGCCAGACCCTCCCAACCCATGTGCACTGGGAGAGAAAAGGGATTGATGATCCTGCCTGACTGTCCTGCTATCAGCCAATATTGATCAGTGTCAATATTGAAATTGAAATAGCAGTGGGAAGGGCTCTGCAAGGTGAGCAAACAACAGTGGATTTGCATTTGCAGCTGATGTTTTCCACAATTTGCTCTGTTTTTCATAAATCCTGTTATTGTTTGGACTCTGTGCACTCTGCATTGGGAGTTGCAGCCTGCTGGAGTGGGACTGGCCTGGACAGCTGCAGGGGGAGCTCAGGGACTCACAGCAGCCTCTGCTCAACAGCCTGAGCTGGAAATCCACTGGAACTGCCTGTGCAGGAGCAGGGAGTTCACTGTACCCACAGATTCCTGAAGACAGGCTGTTCCCCAGAGAAGTCATTTGCGATTCAGCTTTTGGGAGTGGGAGTTTGCTCAGGCTTTTAAATTTAATGAGGATCCAGCTATTTATAAAGCTGGGTTCAGAAGGAGCTGGGAGTGTGGTGGGGCTTTGTGCACCACAATTCCTGGACCCTGTTGGTGGCATTGCTCCGAGAGCTGATCCTGTCTCCTGTGGCTGCTCTTGGCCCCTTCAATTACTGACACATTTAATCCCATTAATTTTGTTTGAAGTGGGTTTTTAAATGGCCATTTATCATCTGTAGTTAGCTGAGCCTTCCCCAGGCTGGTTCTCTGCAGGTTTTCCTCTCCTGACTGTGGCTCCTTTGCCTGGACAGGGTCGGAAGCTCCTCATCATCGGCACCACGAGCCGCAAGGACGTCCTGCAGGAGATGGAGATGCTGAATGCCTTCAGCACCACCATCCACGTGCCCAACATTGCCACAGGGGAGCAGCTCATGGAGGCTCTAGAGGTGAGCAAAAGTTCAAGGATGACAAAAGACTCCAAACTTGAGGGATTTTGCAGTAGCTGTGTCTGGTAACTCCATCCCGCTTGTCATTGTGTCATAACAGAGCAGCTCTGAGGCTCTAAATTTGCTTTTTAATGAATTAAATGGAGGCAAAATTAGAGAACAGTAGGTCTGGGGAAGGGTTTGTGGTCTGGATTAAAACATTCCAAGGGCAGGGAAGTGGGTAATGAGTATAATTGGGGCACTTAAACTGAATGTGCCCAGAGGGTGCTCTGGTGGATTGGAACAGCATCAACTGGAGGTGTTTGGTGCTGAAGAATTACAAATTCTTTATAAATTCCTGCCTTCAGTGCCCCCTTATTCTGTGCCCTAGTGGGAGTTGTAGTGAGTATGGAAGGCTGTTAAAATAAACTGAACAGGCAAATCTTTGGTGCCATTGGCAAACTTGTCCCCGTGGTGGTGTCACTGATGCCTGAGAGACACAAAGACACACCTGAGACACTCCTGCAGCAGGTGTAGAAACTCCCTGTGGCTTGAACCATTGTTTCCTTGTAGACCCTGGTCTGGAGAAGACCTGGAGTGCAGCATAAAAGCACAGCACTGTTAGATAAGGCATAATATGGAAAAAACCATGAGGGAGTTAAATAATTTTTTTGTGTGTTTTGCCATGTCTAAGATACATTGCAGCAAATTTCTCCCCTCAGCTACTAAATGCTTGTAGCTTCCCATTGCCTTTGGCCCAAGGCAGGTACCATTATTGCTGTTCTCAGCCTCCTGTTGTTGATTTTTTAAGCTGATTTTCCCCCCAGCTCCTGGGTAACTTCAAAGACAAGGAGCGCAGCACGATCGCTCAGAACGTCAAAGGGAAGCCGGTGTGGATCGGGATCAAGAAGCTGCTGATGCTGATAGAAATGTCCTTACAGGTAGGAATGGCTCTGGGCTCCTAGAGCACTCCTGGAGGTTCCCTTCTCTGCAGAACCCTGGTGTTGGTGGCAGCTTTTGCATTGGGTTCATTGGGAAAAGAGTTGCAGTGAGGGGAAATGTTGAGAACAAAGAAATCACCACAGCTTGGTCCACAGAGATCTGTAAATTTCCCCCTCGTGCCCATGGGCTGTTCAGAGCTGCACTTACAGAGCATCTGGCTATGGGAGGGGTTGGATTAACTCACCTTTCATGGAATTTCTTTTCTCCACCCAGCATGTTAAGATTGCAGATAGCAATCACCTCAGGTTTTTTGTTATTTTTTTTTTTAAAGAAGAAGGTGCCTGTGCAGGTGTATGTGCTCTTTCCCTGAAGAAGATAAATCTGTCAGGCTGTTCAGCTGCTCTTCTCTTTATTTACCACTTTCAGCACTTTAAAGAAAATAATTGCAGAGGGTAAGAACTATGCAGCTCTGAGCCCTCCCCCGCAGCAGCACCCATGCCTGGAGCTCCTGCTCGTGCTGACACGGGCTGAGGGTGCAGCCCTAATCCTGCCCTGACATCCCAGTGCTCCCCCAGCCCCCCCTCTGCTCCCATCAAGTGGATTTAGTGCAGCTGAGTGAGCTGTTCTCAGATCTCCCTCTCAGAAGTGAAGAGACTTGTAGCTGAGAGCTCAGAGCCGTGTACCCCTCTGTTCACTCCTCACAATTCTGTTAAAACTTGCTCAGCTCTGAGGATGTGCTCTGACTGCATGTCACCTCAGGGAATAAAGTCATTTATCTAGATTACTTTTTCCTCTTCTTCCTTGGCTTTTAATTCCATAGCTGGAGGCAAGTCAGTAAGTCATTGCTCACATGTATGAAATGGATTTAAGGGGTGCTGCCCTTCAGGGGCTGCCCTGCTCCCTGAGCCCTGACAATGGCTCCCTTCTTCTGAATCAGGACGTGCTCTTGTGCTGCTTTCTTCTGAAGTGCTGGTTCTTTTCAAAGCTGGAGGTTTGGAGGTTCTGTGAATCATGGGCAATTCTGAGGTGACAGTGCTGACCCAGCCCTGTGCCCATTCCTGAGGACAGTTCTGGACACTACAGTGTCATAGAGGGATGGAAAGGAATTAGGAACTGTCCAAAGGAGGGAGCTGAGGATGAGGAAGGGTCTGGAGGGGCCATAGGAGGAGCAGCTGAGGGCAGAGCTCAGTGGGGCTGCAGCTCCAATCTCTGCTCTGGGACAGGGACAGGAGCCAGGCGATGGCTGGAGCTGGGCCAGAGGGATTTAGGTTGGAGATCAGGGAAAGGTTCTTCCCCCAGAGGGTGCTGGGCAGGGAATGGTCCCATCCCTGAGGCTGCCAGAGCTCCAGGAGAGCTTGGACACCACTCCAGGGATGGGATTTTGGGGTGTCTGTGCAGTTCCAGGGCTGGGCTGGATGATCCCTGTGGGTCCCTTCCCTCTGAGGGTGTTCCATGGTCCTGTGACCAGTGACACAGAGCCCTCACTCTGCTGAGGCTGGGCAGCCAAGCTCCTCTTGGGTTTTAATTTTTCCAGCAAACCATTGTTGGGTAGGTGAGTGCAGGGCCAGCCAGGCACAGCTGGGACTGTGTCTGTCACTCTGATATTTTATCAAAAAATCCCTTAGCCAGGATTTCTTCTCCTGGGAAGCTTCAGCTTCTCCATGTTTTGCTTCTCTGGGATGTGATTTGGAGAATTGTTTATCAGCATGTGAATTGATTTTAATTAATGGCAAATCACAGCCAGCTGGGTCAGACTCTGAGTCAGTCATGGGTTTTTATTATTCATTCTTGTTAAACCTTCTGATG